TCACTTTTAGTTTCACAATTATTGTACTAAATATCTGATTTGGTCTCTCGACTATTATTAAGATTTCACCACTACTTTGGTCATTGACTATCAATTTTGTCTAATTTCGTCTCCAACTATGCAAATGTTTACCAAAACAGTCATCAGTTTAATTTACCATCAATGTTGAAGGGTAAAATAGGAAATTCAAAGCAAGCAATCATCTTCTTTCCTAAAGTGGTTTTATTGGTGCAATAGAGAGGAGCAATGAACATTTTGTTCCAGCTGTTGATCACAGTTGGGATATTCATAGCCAATATTGTAAATTACGCTACGGCGAAGATGCATCTCCATCTACACTGTCGAAAAGGCTGGCTAGAGAAAGCTCATCATCCTCCAATGTTGCATTCAGATGTTCATTTCTTAGGTCGCAATCGGTTGAGATTAGACTATGGATAATCTTATTCCTAGCAAAATCTTCCCATTGGAGACCCGAGAAGGCAAAGAACGAAAGAGAAATTACGTTTATATCCTTGCTTTTAACGTCTAACAAACGACATTTTGGACTAAGGACCATTTTAGGTCAATATTGCATAGTGAGGGACGAAATTGAAAAAAATTGGTAATCAAAGATTAAAGTGGTGAAATCCCAATAGTCGAAGGAGAAAATCAGTTATTAACTCTTGTCACATTTAATCACTGACTTTTTAAGTTGATGATCACATTTAGTCGCACAACTATTTTGTTGCCATTACTATGTTTGGTCTTTTGTTACAATCTGTATTCAATTGACTTTAATTTCTAAGGCAAACTGATAATTTTAATCTTCTGTTTTTGTTTTAAAAAAGGCTCATAAATGACATAATACGGAGTAATAAACAATATAGGAAAGGAACTAATTTTAAATAAACACATCTATCAAATTATTGTTTATTATGAACATTTTATAAAATAAAAAATAAAAATAAAAAAAATGAAACTAAGATTTGTAAATACCAAATTGTCTTAGAAATTAACATTAATGAAATGAAAATTGTAGTGAAGAACGAAATGTAGCAATGTTAGTAAAGTTATAGAACTAAATGTGATTAAACTAAAAATTATGATCTAAATACAATAGTAGTAGCTAGGATTGAAAGTAAAATTTTCTCTATTGAATACTGATTAGTTACTCTTGTCATACCCTTACTTTTGTAATTGACAATTCTAGAATATGGGTGGTGAATTGATCAACTACTATATTGTCAAATAGGAATGTTAATTTTAACCTAAAATTGAAAAAATTTAGAGTTAAGAGTTAAAAGAATTTAGCTCGATATAAAATATTAACATGATAAGCCTGAAAACGATAAGTTCAATGACTCATACGGGCTAGCTCGAAATTCAATGGGCTAGCCCAATAATCTGAGTCATTTAAGGTTATTCTTTATTTCGATCACAAGGGATGTGGAACAATGTACACACATGAAGTTTATCTGTAAACCCATTTTTAATATTTTTATTATATTTTTAAATAAAATTTTAATAAGTATATTAATAAATTGATTACAAAATAAAACACTTTTTATGAAAATAAATAATGAAAACAAAAATATATATATATATAATTGTTATATTATTGTGTAAATACATTAATTATTTTTTGTTGAAGTTTAGAAATGGATATTTAGATTGATTGAATGATGTATAAGTTTATATTGAATTGTTAGTTTATTAAATTGAAAATTTATAATGTTAATTTGAAAATGTCAAAAGTTTTAGTTAAACTCACCTAATAAGACAGTCACCCCAAAGTTTTAGAATTAGGGTTAATAATTTAAAATTTAGAGAAAAAAATAATAACCAGGACTATGTGGTCTAATGGTACTCGGGTTGGACTTCTATTTGGAAGATTATGAGTTCGAGCCTTAGTGGAGGCGTTATTGGTTCTTTGTGTTTCAGTAGGTTGAGAAAGTATATGAACAGATACTACAATGTAATAGAGCCAGTAACGCTCAGGAATAGATTTTAGAATCTATTTTCTTTTTTACCCCTTTCTTTAACCTAATTTTTTTTATCCTATATATAAATTTATCCTATTTCACCACCATCACCGCCGCCGCCGCCACCATCGCCACAACCATCGCCACCGCCATCGCCACCCCCACTACCACCCCAGCATCGCCACCGCCACCATCGCCGCCGCCGCCACCACCACCGCCACCAGAACCACCACCCAGCAGCACCACCGCCACCACTAACACCACCACCACCACCGCCGCCACAATCGTTGCCTCCCCCAGCACCACTGCCACAACTGCCACCGTCACCACCACCACCGTCGCCCCCACCACTACCAGCACCACCACCACCACCGCCACCACCACCATCACCACCACCACCACCACCATCGCCACCACCACCACCATCACATATTTTTATAAGGGTATTTATGTCTTTTAAAACATATTTCATTTCTATTCCTTAAATCAACCAAACACTGTAATATAATTCCTAAAGTCTATTCCTTCCGCGAACCAAATAATAGAATACAATTCCTATTCTATTCCTTGCCTATTCCATTCCTTATGGAAGAGCATTCCTATTACCTCAAAACTAGTATTTTCACCCGTGCGATGCACAGAATGGAATTGTTGTAATATATTAAGAGTATTTAAATCGATAAAGAGTTAATTTCACCAAAGGTTGCTTATCTTTCCTGACAATTCCAAATTTAATCCTAGACTATAGTTATTAATTATTACAATTTATTCTATGTTATAATTCTTACGTTAATATTCTTACTATTATTATTAACACTTAATTACTTTTAAATATTACTTTTACCACTTATATTATATTATTACTATTATTATTATTATTATTATTATTATTATTATTATTATTATTATTATTATTATTATTATTAGTTTCTTTTCAAGTTTTGTTAGTATATAATGGTCGTGAGGCGCACAATAATAATATAATCATAATTAAATATTCTTGTATTGTATTCCGTGAGTCACAATAATAATATAACAATAATTAAATATTGTTCAATTAAAATATTCTTCTAGGATTTCTATTACCATCATTAACTATTCTCTAATGTACCATAATTAAATAATTTGACCAATTATAAAGAGAGATTATCAAATAATGCACTGGACAAATTTTTAATTAAAAAATTTAAAAAATCATTAATAAAGCATAAGGTTCTCATATTTTTTTCTTAGAAACTATTTAATAAAGCATTTTTTTTAGAAATTGGTGGGCCAAACCGCCTACGGCAGTTTGCAGTAGATAGATCTCGAAAAAATATGCGATTTCAAAAAATTATTTGTCCAAAACAGACAACCGAGTCAAAAGTTATACCTTGCCGAACTTTTGACACATCACAACTTTTACCCAGAATTATTGTACGAATGGGAAAGTAGAAATCAATATATTTTATTGGGAAGAGAGATTTTTTAGGAATTGGGCGGGAAGTTAAAATTCCAGTATTTTGTTATTATATATAGTAAAGATGTACAAAGGGAATTGTATTACACTATTTTAAAATTTTAGAATAGAATTTTTACTCAGAATTATTGTACGAATGGGAAAGTAGAAATCAATATATTTTATTGGGAAAAGATATTTTTTAGGAATTTGGCGGGAAGTTAAAATTACAGGATTTTGTTATTATATATAGTATAGATGTACAAAGAGAATTGTATTACACTATTTTAGAATTTTAGAATAGAATTTTTACCCAGAATTATTGTACGAATGTGAAAGTAGAAATCAATATATTTTATTGGGAAGAGAGATTTTTTAGGAATTGGGCGGGAAGTTAAAATTCCAAGATTTTGTTATTATATATAGTATAGAAGTATAGATGTACAAAGGGAATTGTTTTACACTATTTTAAAATTTTAGAATAGAATTTTTACCCATAATTATTGTACGAATGGGAAGGTAGAAATCAATATATTTTATTGGGAAAAGAGATTTTTTAGGAATTGGGCGGGAATTTAAAATTCCAGGATTTTGATATTATATATAGTATAGATGTACAAAGGGAATTGTACTACACTATTTTAGAATTTTAGAATAGAATTTTTACCCAGAATTATTGTACGAATGGGAAAGTAGAAATCAATATATTTTATTGGGAAGAGAGATTTTTTAGGAATTGGGCGGGAAGTTAAAATTCCGAGATTTTGTTATTATATATAGTATAGATAGTATAGATGTACAAAAGGAATTGTATTACACTATTTTAGAATTTTAGAATAGAATTTTTACTCAGAATTATTGTACGAATGGGAAAGTAAAAATCAATATATTTTATTGGGAAAAGAGATTTTTTAGGAATTGGGCGAGAAATTAAAATCCCAAAATTTTGTTATTATATATAGTATAGATAGATAGATATAGATTGATTCTGTAAACCAAACGTGCTGTAATAGGGTAACTTGAAACTAAACGAACTGGCCTGATTGATATTTCTAGTGTCAAATGGGTATTTGAGGAATTGTCGGAGCAATATAATGAACTACTATTATCATTCTCCCACATATACACCATTTTGATATAATTGTTCTTTCAAAACACCTATTGCCCCAACCGTACTTCCAAACATATATAGCTTTAACGAACTGCTGAACCCAAGTCAACCAAAAATTACAGATATTCTTATACCGAATTATGCCAAATTTTAGTTACGTTATAAAAATAGAGGCATGCTTCATTGTTTTCCCCTTTTCCCAAAAGGTTGAATTCCCAATCCCAATCCGATAGAGCATTTGAAAAAATATAAATTAGGGTGATTTAATGATTTAACTGACAAGACCAAATGTTGGTGCGTACATGAGATCTATCCATTTTAGACATCTAATTCTAATATCGCTGTCAAGATTCGAACTTGGTTTCTTCTCTCAAATATTGTCTATTAAATCAGTGAGTTAAGTCGCGGACACTAAGATTTATGCTTCTTTGTTTTTGTGTGGGAGATAATAGAAGGGGGGTTGTATTTGGTCCAATATAAAAGGGGGAGATAGACTAAGATTTATTGCAGGTAGCTAAGAGAGAGAGAGAGAGAGAAGCCTAAAACACACTCTTAACCCATTTGTTGCTTACATACCACGTTTCTATACCTTCCCAAACCTCCATTTATGGGCTTCGATCCTTTAAGCTTATAAGGTTAGTTCCATGGCCTCTCTTTCTCTTTCTCTTTTTCTCCCCAAATTTTGACATATTCTCCCAACTCTTTCTTAGCTTTTTAAAATTGACCAAGCTCCATTGAAAGTAGGTAGAAAGGTTTTTGGTTTTGTTTTGTTTTGTTTGATGGTTATGGAGAAGTTGTGTGAAGGGGTTGGAGAGCAGATGGAGTTGCCCCCTGGGTTTCGATTCCACCCGACCGATGAAGAACTCATCACCCATTACTTATCAAATAAGGTTCTTGATTCCACCTTCTCTGCTATTGCTATTGCAGAAGTTGATATGAACAAGGTTGAGCCTTGGGACTTACCATGTATGTTATCAAACCTTTTTTTGATGTCTTTAAGGAATTGGGATTTTTTTGTGTTTTTTGTGTAATATAATGTTAGTTTGTGGTTACTGCAGGGAAAGCAAGAATTGGGGAAAAGGAATGGTATTTTTTCTGTGTGAGAGACAAGAAGTATCCGACAGGGCTGAGAACCAACAGAGCCACGGTTGCTGGGTACTGGAAAGCCACCGGAAAAGACAAGGAGATTTTCCGGGGTAAATGTCTGGTGGGGATGAAGAAAACTCTGGTTTTCTACATGGGCAGAGCTCCAAAAGGTCTCAAAACCAATTGGGTCAGCCATGAGTATAGACTTGAAGGTCAATTGTCTCTTCAAAACCTTAACAAGCCATCTAAGGTATTTTTTTTTTTTTTTTTTTTTTTTAACTCAATCACTATTTGAGGGTATGAACAGGGTAAATCTAGCTGGATCAAATTCGTAACTGTGTGGTTACAACTTTGTATCTTTAGTACTCGTATGGACAACTTAACCGGTAAATGTGAAATTTGTCACAAGAGACTAATGATCGAATTTCACAAAGGGACAAGGACAGTGTGGGAGCAACTAACATCTCCAAATGAGAGGGATTTCTTGTGCATAGTGAACAAAAGTTTAGTTTTTGTTGATCGGTTGAGTCACAATAATTTAGTCTTTTACAAACTTTAAGACCGGAATGTTGAGATACCTGGTGTGGACGATTTCACTTTTTTGTTACAAATTTATATTTTTAGTCATTTTGACCGAGATTACCCTTGTTTGTTGTAATGAATTTTGATTTTTCCCCTTTGTAGGTACAGAATGACTGGGTACTCTGCAGAGTGTTTCAGAAGAGCTCAGGTGGCAAAAAAGTCCACATTTCTGGCATGATAAGATGCAACTACCCTACCGGAAATGCACCCCAGAATTCCCCTCTTCTTCCACCCTTATCAGATTCACCGCCTTGTCACGGCGGCGCCGCCAAGGCCACCAGCTACGTGCACTGCTTCTCCAGCAAACAACAAGAGATGAATATGAATATGCTAAACTTTTCACCACTACCCATTTCTCCAATAATCCCCAACACTTTCACTACTACTACCACCACAAATTCTCTCCAAATCCCATTAATCCCCATGCAAGATCCTGCAACCCTGAGGAACTGGCTCGCAAACTATGGCTTCAAAACAGAGAATAAGGAGATAGCGAGTGGAGTGTCTCAGGAAACTGGTCTTAGCACTGACATAAACACTGAAATCTCCTCCGTGGGAAAGAGGTGTTTCCAAGATCATCAGGACCCTCCATCAACCCCTCCACCAGGACCACAAGACTTTGACTGCCTCTGGAGTTACTGAGATTTAAATAAATCTTGAAAAATAGCCCAAAAATATATTTTAATTACTCTCATCATTATAATTATATTGGTGTGTAGTGAATTGTGTGTGCATACATATATATATATAATCTGATAAAAACCAATCTTAACTTGCGAACCGAACTTTTGAAAGATTGCACCGCAACTACTATATAATTGCACTGTTATTACGGCTCCTAGATATGTGCCTGTGGACTTTGCGGGTGCAATCATATAGTAGGTGTTGTGCAGTCCTTCAAAAGTTCGCATATTCCCACGTTAAGATCAGTTCGCATCTGATTATGGAAGTATATATATATATATATAGAGAGAGAGATTTTCTGAATCCTGAGGTTTATGAAATTATGGGTTCAACATGTCTGCAGTGCTTAGCTTGATGAAATTATGTTGTTCAGCTTCTTCATTATTGTCTGTTATTGTAATGGTGGTGATTGGGATTATATATATATATATGTATGAAATAATTAAACACAAAAATTTGTAAAATTACTAGGAATCAACATTATTGTTTATTGCTGATGTTTTAGATTAGATTGGTGGTTCAGTCGCTCACTCATCTTTTCTTGTGTTTTTTTCCCTTTGAACCTACATTCTTTGTCCAAGAATTCTGTCTTACATCATGCAACATATTTAAGGTTTGATGTTGAAATATTTAATGCTATAATTTTGTTTTAATTTCTAATATTTTCTCTTATGAATACATTAATTCCATTACCATTAGGGCCGGAGCCAGAAATGTTATCCTGTGGAGGCAAAAAATTAAAATAAATGAGAAATTTTGGAAAAAAAATAACTTAATAATTGTGTACTGGGGTTCGACCTCTTAAACTATAAACTAACTTATCTTTTAGTAAATTTTCTATATTACTTAGGTATATTTAGTAATTTCAAATGGGTGGTTATAGGTTCCAGATTTTTTGGGCTGAAAATTTGGATCCCCTGATTACAATTAATATTTGTGTCATTCATTTGGTACATTTTTGGATGATTCAAAAGAGATAGTAAATTGAATATAAGAAAATATTTTATTATATAGTGTCATGTATTTGTTAGAGTTATATCTTAGCTCCTTATACTTTGCAAGTTGTATGCATAAAATATAAAGCATTGTAAGTCATGGTATTATAAAACTTTTTTAAATATAAATTTGTTATATTGAATTATAAGTTGGTCTAACCGATTTTCAAAATAAGTTGGTCTAACACATTGGTATAAACGTATCATGTTTGATATTAGAATTGTTGTCGCGTGCGTCACATTTTCTGCAAGGTTATTGGCTAATTTATTGCAAAGGAATATGACAAAAACTTGTGTAGGCCGTCTCAGGGATCCTTTGTTTGTGAGACGAGTTTAGTCAAGATGAAAATGTAATACTCATACTAAAGAATATAATACTAGTTAAGAATAAAATGTTGGTTAGTTACTTATAAGGGAAAGTATAATACTTATGAAGAAAAATGTAATACTTTTACATTTTGATTGTAAATAATACATTTTTCTTCAAAAGTATTTGCAATTCCCCCTATAAGTAACAAAATCTTTATTCGTGATTAGTATTACATTTTTCAATATAAATTCACATTTCCATCTTCGCCTAATCCGCCTCACCGATAAGGCTAGACCCGTGAGACAGTCTCACAAGAAAGCAATATTACGGTCAAAAAATGACGTCGTTAAGCGCAATTTTTTTAACGCGACCAGTTGCAATATGCATTTTTATAACTCATAATGTATATTATTCTAACACATAATGTACATTATCTTACCCAAAGTTTAATTATTTTAACACAATGTACATTATTCTAACACATAATGTACAATTTTTAACACATAATATACATTATTCTACCTCATAAAATTCAGCGTCGTCGTTTTGGATCGTGATCCATATAGCTGTGTGGATTACAATAATTTGCTACAAGAAAGTCACTCAAGAAATATTTTGGTTTAGAATTAAATAAAAAATTTCTAAAAATTATATGAATTTTAAAATGTGGTTCATGTACTATTATTCCATCCTAGCTATCACAAGAGTGTTACCTAAAACGTGCATTTAATAGTCAATAAAATGGTATAAAGTATGAGATAAGGTTATCTAAAGTCAATCCAAGTAGGAATGGGGGAATGGAGAAATGAAAAAAATTGTTGTTAGTGAACCTGGTTGGCACGTATGAAATTAATTAGACAAACAGTTGGGGATGGTATGCGTGATCAAATTCAAATTCTGCCGTTTCATTATTGCTACATCATTCACTAATCACACATATGCTCAATAGGATCAAACTTATTTTCTCTTTATGTTGGCGGCATTTTTTTTTTTTTTTTTTGCTTAAAATGTTGGTGGCATTAATTGGCTTCAAGTTACATTTTTTTTTTTTATAGTGTTAAATAAGCGCCTAAATAGAATATAACAAGTCCTAATAAAATAGGGGCCCTATGCAATAATATAATTTGGGCCCTCTTTTATTTAATTGTAAATATAAAATAAAAATATAATGTTCATTAGCATACACTCTTGCACTAATTAAACTGCCATAATATAATTTGGGTCCTCTTTTATCTAATTGCAAATATAAAATAAAAATATAAGGATTAGACTAAACTATCATGAGTCATGACTATAATGAAGACTACTTTATCTAATAATTGATGTTGATTATTATCTTTTTGTTCATCCACTTGAATTTCTTTTATAATAAATTTATTAAGAGCTCCTTTTTTAAATTTGAAATAATATGTAAAGATAGATAATGAAAAATATAATATATTGATATTCAATAGTTTAAACAAAGAAACATTTCGTATTTATACATGTCGGTTTAATGACTTTAGGCTGTCAACAATTGACCAACACAACCATTAAAATAACGAGCATATGATAATATAGAAAATATAGAGAGCATTTAGAGCAAAATATAGGGAGAATAAATATTTTGTATTATTGGAAATTGTTTCTCCCTCCCCATGTGTGTGTGTGTGTGGGGGGGGGGGGGGTGGGGGGCTATTTATACAGATATTGGTTAAGAGTCGTATAAAGAATAGAAATCCTAAACTGCCTCATATTGGAAGTCCTTGTTACATTGGGAATAAAGAGCTCAATCATTATGACATTATGAATAATAAGTCAAACCCTATTAAACTCCTAAGTTGCTTCATGCTGGGTATCCTTCTTGGACTTTCTTGATTCAATTACTTTTTTTTTGGAGCGGTCCATGTGGCTCAGGTCCTTTTGCTTGATTAGTCCAATCGGTCAGCCCAGTATACCATCCATCAATACAAGAGATTCTAACAGTAAAAATGAATATAAAAGGTATGTACCTAAATGAAATGTTTCCCTTCAAGCTCACGGGTGGTACATGAGCTTGGAAGTGATGGCGTTGAATGTTTGAGGAAGTAAGTTCTTTTTAGAAATGCCAGCTTGTTGATTGAACGGAACAAAAGTGGTGTGTAGTGTGCCAAAAGCAATCTTGTCACGAACAAAATGGCAATTTACATGTAATAACAATGTCATCAACAAAAAGTCAAAAACAAGCAGTATAGTTAGAAATTAACATATTCTATACGTAAACATGGAGTAATCAGTTTAAGATTGGACAATTCTGGCAGTGGTAAGGGAGGTAGAAAAAGTCATGAACCAAGACTATGATGTCTGTTTGAGCCCATAAAGCGATTTGTGGAAACGAAAAATGAGATTCTCCCTAATGGTTTTATCGGGACAGGGTCCACCATAAACCGAGTACAGAATAAATATAGGAACAAGAAGATAACGCTTTTATTGCTTGGGGCGTGAGGCCCAACGAATATACACAAGAAAACTCGAGGAACCGGCCTAAGAATGGCAGCCCAACAGAATAAATAAATAAGACAAATAATCAAAACTAGAGAACTAATAAATAAATAAATAAATAATACCAAGAGTTGAACCCTTGACCAATCAATTAAAGGAGGAAGACTTAGACCACCAGGCTACCAAGTCTTTGTGTTCCTCACCAATGTCCTAAGCAGATCGTACCCCCTACCCCCTCTCCCCCCCCCGGTTTTTATACTATCTCGGGACTCCTTTGTTCCACCCACGTGTACGACATCTATGGGCCACCCTCCTTCACCATACATGTGCCCCCCTCTTCACACGTACTCTTAACAATCGATGTTGCGCACCCTTCCGCGATCCTCGCTCCTACACGCATCGCTATGCTCTGCGCCAACCGCCAACCCACAGTTGCCACCTCACCCGCATACATGCATGTACGTAGCCGTCATCCTACCCGCACGCATGCATGCACGTACGTAGCCGCCATTCCACCCGCATGCATGCACGTACGTAGCCGCCATCCTACCCGCACGCATGCATGCACGTACGTAGTCTCCATTCCACCCGCATACATGCATGTACGTAGCTGCCATTCCACCCGCATACATGCACGTATGTAGCCGCCATCCTACCCGTACGCATGCATGCATGTACGTAGTCGCCATTCCACCCGCATCATGTATGTACGTAGCTGCCATGCATCCTACCCGCACGCATGCATGAACGTACATAGCCGCCATTCCACCCGCGTGCATGCATGTACGTAGCCACCATCCTACCCGCACGTATGCATACACACGTCAACCGCCATCCCCTCGCATGCACTCACATACACGTGCCTGCTTGCATCACCCCGTGCCTGCTTGCCCAAGCCCTCCTTTGTTCCTAGGCCCTAAACCTCCCCCCAAGCTACGCGGGCCAAGCTCAATCCTTTTTACACCATCACTCCCCATTTCGTCCAAATCCAAGAGGAATGTTCATATAGACTTCCTCATGGAGGGTGCCATGAAGGAAGGCATTGGAGATATCAAGTTGATAGGTAGCCCATTCTTGGGCAACTTGTGACACCCCGAAAATTATACTAATTCCTGAATTAATTCCTACGATTATTTTTTTTCTAATGAGGGAATTAATTCTTTCACTTAAAGCTCAATTCTTCTATCTAAAATAATCCCAGCCTAGTATTTATCTTAAGCCCAAATATTTATAAGTCTTGTATATATATTTATATGTTTGGACATTTCTAAGACTTTGAGTATTAATATTGTGGGTCTAACCTTATAGTATTAATATAATACAAGTTCCTTATTTCTTTAGAAGCCCATTCTAAGACTTTGAGTATTAATGTTGTTTGTTTATATGCTTGGTTTTGATGTTGAATTTTGAGTATTTTGTTATGTTATTATGCCCATCTTGTATTCTAGACTTTCTTGATGATTTATGGAATGATAATCCTTGATTCTAAGCTACTGGAAGTGTGTTTTGCATTTTGGAAAACATTTCTGAGTTCACTGGAAGTCTGTTGAATTTGCCTGGAATGAGGGACCAAGGGGTGGTTCTACCCGTTGGAGCCCCCTTCTAATGGCTTAAGGGAGACTTGGGCGAGTAGGAGCACCCGTCCAGTCCTCCCCTTGCATTCCCAAGGGTGATTTGGACAGGTACTTCTACTCGCCTGACCCTCATTTTGGTTTAGAAGTGTTGTTTTCTTGTGTTGTTTTCTTGTACTTTGTTGTTTTGATTGCTCCAAGTTGGTTTGAAATGTTTTTTGGAACTCTTTAAAGTCTAGAGCTGAGTATTTTAGGCATGCTTTGATTGAGGTTGGATCTTGAATTCGTTGATAAAAATCTATTCTTGATAACCATATAACCTATTCTTGAATTTGTTGATCTGAATGCTTATTAAACTCGTTATAAGTATTCTTGTGAGCTTTTATTGGATTGCATGCTAGTATATTGAATTCTTGAGGTTAGTAGATCTTGTTGAAAGCTTTATTCTTGGAATCTCATTGAATTTGACTTGAGCTTATTATCCTTGAATCCATTTCTTTGGAATCTATTGAGTTATTGGTTTGAAGATTAATTGTTGATGCTATATTCATGGAATCCATCTTTGTTGAGTTAGTCCTATGATCTTGATATTGATTATTGATCTTCGAGAGTCTATTCTATTGTCTTTGCCTCGTATGACTCTCTTGTTGAATTGAAATCTTGATTCTTGACGTTGAAATTGATTTGCTGGTATAGTGGACAGTGTGGGGCTTATTTGAATTGAATTGGATTGATATTGATTTGTTTGGCCACCCGGTCAAAACGTATTATGGGTGTCAGATCTAGTTCTACCTATTGGGGCCTGGAGATCCCAATAGGGGTGTATACACTTAAGGAATTAGAACTTCCATCATTTGATTTGATTGATTGAGATATGGTGTCCTTGAGAGGACTTGAGCTATCTGGAAGTTCTCCACACTGATTCACTATTATTGATTGTTGGTATTGTTGAGATTGATTGTGATTATTGATATTGTTGATGTCCCTGTGTGGACTTGAACTTGAGATTGATATTGTTAATATACTTGAAATGAGAATTGAACAATACTTGAATCGTACATTCGTATTGCCTATCTATCAAACTCTACTTCATCGTTGGCACTCTTTAGAATCTATCTTATTGCTTGGAATCCTTCCACTTTGCTAATTATATTTTACCCTATTTTGAGTTGTTGCAGGTACATAAATATGTTAACAACATATTATGTGTTTGCAATTACCATATTATGTGTATGTAGTTAATATAGAACAAATTGCACTTTTGGTCCTGTGACTATTAGGGTATTGACAATTTGAGTACGTGACTTTCAAAACTCTCAATTTAAACCTTTAACTATGTAATTATTAGCAGATTTGGTCCTGCCAGCCAAATTGTCGGCCAATTTTGGCCGGAAAAATTAAAACTATTTTTAATTATTTAATTATGAGGGCAAATTGGTCATTTTAGAGTCTTCTTCTTCACTTCCTTCAGATATTGGGAGTTCTTCGTCTTCCTTCTTGCAACGACGATCGAAAAAGAAAAAAATGGGAGGTAGAAGCCGGAGAAGAAGGAGATGTTCAGCATCTTCAAGCCTTTAAGGTTGCCTAAAGATGGCGGGATTTCAGCTGAAAATCTGTTGCTTGACAAGTCCAACCAAGAATAGATGTCACTGGCAGCGCCTGATGAAATCCCTTGGATCGTTCTCTTCCAGATCACGTTTAAGTCTGTGTACTCAATCTTGAAAGTGAATAAGTCCAGAAGTGATGAAAATGTGGTCGGTGTGTTGATCATTCCCATAAGATTTCCTACCTCCTTTGGGATTTTTCCGGTGAAGCTGTTGTCTGACAAGTCCAAGATTTGGAGTTTTTCCATTCTGGATAGGCCGGTTGGTACTGAGCCCCGGAGGAGATTGTTTCTAAGGTTTAGACTGCGAAGAGATGACATTTGGGTGATGAATTCGGGGAGTTCTCCACTGATCTTGTTGTCATGGAGATCAAGATGTTCAAGCATGCTCATATTAGTCAGATTTCTGGGCAATGGTCCAGAAAATCTATTGTTTCCCAAGGCAAGAATCTTGGTTTCTTGAGGAAAGCTTAGAGGGATTTCTCCTGAAAGGTCATTAGAGGATAAATCCACATATGCAAGTAAGCCACTGGGATCAAAAACTGGGAATGTATCACCAGAAAATCTGTTTTTCGATAAGTCCAACAACAGCAAACGATAAATGTTCGAGAGGGAAACAGGGATTGTTCCTGAAAACTGGTTGTTAGCCAAAATGAGTAACATAATGGCGGTAGTGGACGATGGAGACGGCGGAGGCATGGCGATTGAAGGCGAGGGAGCGGCGGCGGCGGCACTGGACACCGGAGAAGCGGCGGAAACAGGGGACGACTCAGCTTCTGCGACGGAGGAAGGCGATGGCGATGGAGTCGCAACGAGAGGAGCAGGAACTGGGGTCGGTGGCTCCGCGGCGGAATACGGCGATGGAGCGGCGGTGAAACTTGGTGCAGGGGATTGAGCAACGGATGAGGCGACTAATAGTGCCACAAGAAACATTACCAGAAGCTCTTCGCAGGCTTCTACCTCCCATCTGAAGGAAGTGAAGAAGAAGACTCTAAAATGACCAATTTGCTCTCATAATTAAATAATTAAAAATAGTTTTAATTTTTCCTACCAAAATTGGCCGGCAGGACCAAATCTGCTAATAATTACATAGTTAAAGGTTTAAATTGAGAGTTTTGAAAGTCACGTACTCAAATTATCAGTACCCTAATAGTCACAAGACCAAAAGTGCAATTTGTTCAATTATTATCTGTTTGTAGCTAACATATTATGTGTCTTTTATTTATTTATAGATACATAATTTGTTAATTATAGACACATAATATGTTAACTGCAGACACATAATTTAAATGAAAAATTATAATTTATGCCACTCCATAATATGTCAATTATCAATGTCACCCCTGAATTATTAGTCGTGTAAATGTTGCCCATCAATTTTCGAAATGGTACATATAGTGCCTTCTCATATTATAAATGTTACCCCTCAATTTTTAAAACGGTACATATATTGCCACTCCCGTACAGTACAGGAAGGGCAATATATGAACCGTTTTGACAATTGATGGACAACATTTACACCACTAATAATTTAGGGATAACATTGATAATTGACATATTATGGAGATACAAATTACAATTTTCCCTAATTTAAATATTATTTTGAACAACAGTCCAAAATGTCAATAGTTATGCTGTGCAACCGAATGCACCATGCGCATGGTGCATACGACGCAAAACGACGTCGTTTTGACTAAAAACGCACGTCCCACTTTAAAAAAAAAAATTCATGTTCGATTCTCGGCAATAACATTATTGTGGATATATAGTTATGAATTTCTGGATATATAGTTATGAATTTCTAGATATATAGTTATGAATTTATGGATATTTAGTTCATTCATTGTGTATATTTAGTTCATTCATTGTAGATATTTACTTCATTCATTCACTGTGGATATATAGTTATGAATTTATGGATATATTGTGGATTTTTACTTCATTCATACACTGTGGATATATAGTTATGAATTTGTGGATATATAGTTATGAATTTATGAATATATAGTTATGAATTTATGGATATATAAAAATGCTATTGCCGGGAATCGAACCTGATTTCTTTTTTAAGTGGGACGCGTGTTTTTTAACCAAAACGACGTTGTTTTGCATCGAATGCACCATACGCATGGTGCATTCGGTTGCGCAGTATAATTTGCGCCAAAATGTAAGGTGGACTTGGTCTATGGTATAATTTGCCATGAAAATGGGTGGAAAAGAATACTCCGTATCAGTTTTCAAGACTAAGGGGGTGTTTGGTTGGATGGAAAACATTTTCCATGGAAAATGTTTTCCTAAAAGTGAAGGAAAATGATGTTTTATGTTGTTTGGTTGGATGGAAAACATTTTTCATAGGAAAAAGTTTTCCTTAAGGATGAGGAAAACAAATTCCTAGCTCATGCTTAGGGCTGTGCAATACCCGAAATACCTGAGGAGGTTGAAAGATTAGAGAAAGGTAACACTTATCAGTTTCTTAGTTACTTTTTTTTTTTATTCTACTAAGTTTATTTCCTTTTCACTTTCTTTCTTACTTATTATGTTTTTCACTTTTGCAGAATTGCCCACTGGAGCTTCATCTACTATACCATCAATGTTGCCTACAATCACTGTAATGTTTTTAATATCAGTTTACAATGTGTTCATTTCTTTACCGAGTTTGATATTCTGTTATGTACTCATGTTGTTGCAAGTGGTGTTTAGCCTCTAAGTGGCTTGGCAACTTTCTGTTATTGATTTGTTGCTGCCATTAGATGAGTTGAGCCCAATTTTGCCCATTTCTCTGCACTCTGGAATTATGGTATAACTCTTCCTTGCTCTGTTTTCAGTTTGAATGTATTTGTTTTATTTGGTGGCTATGATGAAGCTTCCACTATTGTCTGAATAAATGGAATGGAGTTGGTATGTTGCCAATGTGTTAATATAACACATTCAGAGCAATTTGCCCACATTCTTACTTGATATGGAAAAATGCACTCTGAGCCACTTAGCATAGTGAATAATTGCTTAGTATTGTTACTCTAAATGTCTGATTGTCTGTTTTCTAAACTCTAAACACTAATATCATTTTAAGTTTGAATACTAGCAGGAAGAAGAGTAGATTATCTAGATGACTAGATTAGTGTTGATTTTGCTGAATTGCTGAAAGAAGAACTGAAGAGTACCGGTGCTGACAGCTCAAGTCTATGATTTTTTGTATAATCATTGAAATTCGAAAATATGTAATTATTAAATTAGTTTGAAACTGTTATAGTTGTATAGTAGTATGTTTTGCTAGTTGCTACGCTATGGTAATGAAACTCAGTATTACTTTTATCTATTTTAGAATTTTTAGAATTTAGAATTTGTTTTATTTTAATTTATTATATCTGATTTCAATCCGAAATCCGACAACGGATATCCGAAATCCGAACCTATGCAATCCGATAGGATCTGTCCAAAAAAATAAACGGATAGGGGGTACAAAAGAAATTCGAAATCCGATCGGATGGACGGATTGGACACCCGATCCGTCCGAATCCGACCGATGCTCAGGCCTACTCATGCTAGGTATTTTGTTTTCCATGGAAAAGGTTTTCCATGAAAAACTAACATTACAATTTTACCTCAACATTCTTTATTAATTACTCTTATTATTATTATATTGTTATTGTTGTGTAGGGTTATATTTGTCATTATACTCATTATTCCTTACCATTCCAAACTCAACCAAACAATGGAATTCATATTCCCAGTAATTTCTTTTCCACCAACCAAACAATGAAATCTATTTTCTTGGAATTTATTTTCCATGAAATTTCAATTTCATTTCCCTTCAAATATTTTCCAGCGAACCAAACGAGCCCTAAGGGTCTAAGGTTTCAATTTTTTAGGTCTATTACATTTTTCCCCCTATATTTGGGCAATGAGATAAAAAAGGGTGGGGATCCACTGATCCGATAAAGAAAACGGGTCAATGCTCGAAACGAGCTGGCGGTAGAGAGAGAGAGAGAGAGAACGAAAGATGGGGAGGGAGGTATCAGAGAGCTGCGTGGGGAGTCTTCTAACCGAGATTGTTTCTTCTTACTGCAATGGCTTCTATGCCGACAAGCCGGAGCTCGCCGCCCGCCGGATTGAAGCCATCGGATTTCAAGTTGGTCACCAACTTTCTGAAAGGTCAGCATACACCATTCTGCTATCTTCTGAAACTGAATGCATGACCTAATTCCCAGTAAAATTTTTATACTGAAACCAAAATACTAAAGAATTTTGATAGTTGATTATCTCTGAGATCCGAAATGTGTATGTGAATTTGTCGGAATTTAAGTTCTTTTAAGATTTAATTTTACAAAGTTTAAATGCATTAAGATTTGATCAGGAATTTGGTGAGAAGTTCCGTTATTTATCATTTCTTATCATAGTCCCGGGAGCTAACTGCTAAAGTAGAGCTTCGTTATTGAAATGTGCTGAGATAGAATAATGTAACTGAATTGAAATACTAATTAGCTGTTGCTGCATTGGTAGAATGCTCTCTTGCTTTCCTTAACTATCACTGACTTTGGTCCTTATCCCTAGGTGTTTGGTTCAAGTTATATAACATAACTAAGGGAATGTGAGATTTGGAATGTAATATTCCCATGTTTGGTTCAATTATCTTCCTTTTCCAAGGGAATATAACATTCCCTTTGGATTTTGAAGGGGATGTGATTCCCCTACAACTCTCAGGTTTTATAAGTAATAAGATTCCCATGTATAATTTCTATTTTTGGGCTTCTAATTCCCATGTTTGGTTCAATTATCTTCCTTTTCCAAGGGAATATAACATTCCCTCTGCATTGGATTTTGAAGGGGATGTGATTCCCCTACAACTCTCAGGTTTTATAAGTAATAAGATTCCCATGTATAATTTCTATTTTTGGGCTTCTAATTCTAATTAGTATGAAATATATATTTTATGTTAGCTTATTGTATGTATCATATTTAATTACTTTTATAATTATATATTTTATTTTTTTTCTTATTACGTCATGTTAGCTTATATAGTAATTTTGTTTATCATTCAAGCTCTTAGTTAATTATATTCTTTTTAAATCATGTAATATACATGTTACCATTGCCTTATTTATTTATTTATATTAATTTTGAAATTTATAGAAATACAAAAAAAATATGTTAAGGGTATTAAAGTAAAAAAGCATTATAACATAAAAACATAATCCTAAACCAAACATGATTATATTACATATCTCTATTTTAACCAAACACAGGAATTTAATGATTTTATTGATTCTTTATCTTTTGTATGTCATCACCAAATCATGAATCATTAATGTTTAGGGGGGTAGGTGTAAGGATATCCTAAGTTTTCTCTCTTGATTTTTAAATTCTACAATGTCCAAGCTTTTCCTTTGGCCTTGCTGGGTATGTCTGCAATTTATAAGCTAATATGATTATCTGGGCTTAGTGAAATCACTTTATTGTGCTTCAAGTCATATTCACATGGAATCCATCTTGAAAAGTTGTTTTCTTTTATGTTCTAGACTTATTACATAGTGCAGTTATGGTATGAACAAAGACATATATTCATAGTATTTGTTTAATGCATTAACTAGATTGACTCATATGATTGATCTTTTACCAATTCCCATAATTTGTGTCTTATAGGTCATGAAAGAGGTACTTCATTACCTATTGGTGATTTTAAGTAAGTTCAAGGGGGAAGAAGACATTTCACTACAGCATAAATAAGCTGAAAAATCGAGTGTTAGTCTATGGAAATTTGTTTTTTTTTTTATCCTTCTAACTGAGTAGATCATTATTATTCTGCCACATTCATGACACCTAGTATTGTCTACTGTATCATTATATGTTATGTCAGAGGGGCCCACTTTTGAACAGATCACTTGGTATACACATGTTCAATCGTTTAAGCATTTTAGTGACTTCTGTAATTCTGTTGACCCCCACTGCTCAAAAGCTAGCTTGTCCCTTTGTCTAGGTGAGAATATATTTGGTTGTAATCTCACTTTGGCTAGGAGACCTACAAAATTCTAAGTGGTTTGGTGCATTATATTGGCTCATCTCCTTAACACTCACGTTTTTCGGAAGACACTCATGCTTTTATCTACTATTGTAGATACACAATGGAACGACCTCGGTTCAGTGACCATTTGGAAGCTATCAAGTTCATTTGCAAGGACTTCTGGTCTGAGCTCTTTAAGAAACAAATAGACAACCTAAAGACAAACCACAGAGTGAGTTTGAGGATTCACATTAGCTTGTTTCTTAAGCAATTATGAGCTCACTCTTGTGATCTTTTCTCCTCAGGGTACCTTCGTGTTGCAAGATAATCAGTTTCGTTGGCTATCTCAGATGCCAATGGATCCATCTCTTGAAACTTCTGGTTCTATTCAAGATCCTTCAGCCATGGCTGAGAACAAAGCTGCACAAGCAATAGGCATGCATCTCTATTTCCCTTGTGGAATCATCAGGGGTGCACTTTCAAATCTGGGAATTTCCTGTGCAGTATCTGCAGATATATCTAACCTGCCTGCATGTAAGTCATGTCTTTTATTGCTTCGTGGTATTATTTCATGTTTATCCTTCATCGAAGAAACATGCAAATATTATTGTAAGGAAGGCAGGAAGGGTATAAACATTATTGCTATATACTAAAGTAGTACAAATTTTAGTGTGCCAAAATTAGGGCCTTAGGGCATTACTATAATAACACATTCTGTATTAGACTTAATTTTTTAGGATAGCCAATTAAAAGAAAACTACCCCCAATGATTGCAAGAAAATAGTATAGATTCTTGTTATGATCTTGATTTTCGCCACTTGATAAATCTTGATGAATTGATAAAACCCTACAAGTGAAAGCTCTCCTGAGTTATTTCTGATACACCTGTGTATGTGTTCATAATTTAATCAGGTTCATTTGTGATACATATTAAGGTTTGACAAGCTCTTGCAAGAATTAAGGGTTGGCTCTCCACTTGTGTGCCAGATCTGGTCAGCCATCACATATGAACTATCTTCTTCTTCCTCTTATATTCTCCTCCCTTCCCCTTTGTTTTGGGTTTCAAGTTACAGAGACTGGAGTGCAAATTTGTGCATGAATCAGCATACATGGCAGTTGTTCCCAGGGTATAGAGTTTCAACTGAACTATTGTAATAGCTATATATATATATATATATATATATATATATATATATATATTTCCAGGGTTTTTGTTTTTCTTTAATTGCCTAATTTGGCCAAGACCAAATCTGTTTTGGTGCTACAAGGATGAAAGCTTTAGATACTAGGTCAGAGTTGAATTAAGGTAGACAAGACCAAATCTGTTTACTACTATGTTATTATGATTTATTTAAGGGAAAAGGGTCAAATAGGTTGATTAATTTTATTCAAAAAGTCAATTAAGCCTTTAAATTTGTAAAAGTTGCAATTAAGCCCATCAACATGTTATTTTGATGCATCAAAGCCCAAAAACCAGTTAGTGGCTTGCTATTGCGGGTCACTAGGGTTTTGGCGCTATTCCGACCACATTTCGCCGACAACACTGGCGATCGGTGATTGTTCCACAGTCGCCTGCCCTAGTGACTAAACCGATTATTGGGTTTCAGTGCATCAAAATAAAACCAGTTGATGTGCTTAATTGCAACTTTTAAAAATTTAACGATCTAATTGATTTTTTGAGTAAAGGTATGGGTAATGTTGCAGAAGGTGCTAGGTGCTAGTCGATCGCCCGGGGGGCGCCTAGAGGGCCTAGGTGCCTCGTAGGCGGTCGAGTAATTTGAGTATATTGTCTTCACTTTTTTCACAAACTAGTCAACTACATATGTTAGATGGTTAGTTGAGTACATGACTGAAAGAATATAAAAGATGAGCAACTGAACAGGTAAAAAATACCACTCAGCTGAGTTGGGTGCCAATTAGGTGGATTTTGACGCCTAACTCGGCGCCTAAGGCGCATAGTTGACTAGTTAGTCGACCAGCCAACTAAAAATTGCCTAGGACTGAAATCGACTTGGCCTAGGGGCGCCTAAGCGAGCGCCTAGGTCGATATTTACAACACTGCAGTATGGGCCTGGGTTATCAGCAGCAACCAGGAGGAAAGTGGGATAGAGGACACCTGAAAAATGAATAGTAATAGCGTCCCACACGGCACCGGAAGCACAAATCTTGTGCCCTCCCATCCCACCAGAGACAGCACTGCTGCTATCCATCCCACCACACCACACCACAAAAACAATACAAAACAATCACCAACTACATTTTTCTTTCTGTTATGCCACAAAACAAAATGTTCCTCGTATACCCCACCCTTTCCTCCTTTTTTTCACTTTATTTATTCTTTATACCTGCATTTCAGTTACAACTATAATCAATCACGTGTCTGCTCTGTAATTTCGTATTTAGAGAGTGGCTAATTGGGTGACCAATGTATTTAGTTTAGTTTCATTCTTTCATTACCTTTTGTTTGTATTGATATACCAAACTTATAACGTTGGTGATAATGATTATGATGATGATATACGTATACATATTACGTACTAGTGTATATTCTTCTCTTCTATCTAAACCTACCTTAAACGTCTCTTCCTTTGCCAAACCCTTCACGAGGTTTACGTGCCCTTTTTTTCTTTTTTTATACTTTACTTTTTATAGTTATTTATATAAACACAAGTTTAGTTTATGCAATCTTTCTCTTTTAATTTCCATACACATTACACTATTCTCATTTCCCTCACACTCATCAATCAATAACTCCAGTACACTTAACATGGACGCCCAGTCCCACCCGCATAGCGACGGCGGCGGCTCTTCCTCTGCCGAGGCTGCCCCTCGGCGTAAATGTACGGGGAAGCGAGCGGCGCCAGAGTCCGGAGCTACACCACCTCCGGCGGCTCCGGTGGCGGCCATCACAATACAAGCCCCTTGCGGTGCATGCAAGTTCCTGAGGAGGAAATGCGTGAGTAGTTGCATCTTTGCCCCCCATTTTGGCTCCGATCAAGGGGCCGCCCGCTTCGCCGCCGTCCACAAGGTGTTCGGCGCCAGCAATGTCTCCAAGCTTCTCTTGCACATCCCGGCAAACCGCCGCCACGACGCCGTCGTCACCATCTCCTACGAGGCTCAAGCCAGGCTCTCCGACCCCGTTTACGGTTGTGTCTCAACAATCCTAGCCTTGCAGCAACAGGTTCAACTTCTTTAATTTCTTTCTTTTGCATTATTATTTACGTAAACATACACACATATTGTTACGATCAAAGTGCTTACCACCACGTCAAAAGCTATAGCTGAATACACAGCTTTATTTACATTTTTGAGACACTAGTTGCTGGACTTGACCTCCTTTTACCAGTCTCCACCCAACAATCGCCCGGCCACCGAGCCCAACACATACATACATAAATAAGAATGATAAATAAATGAGGAAACAAAATTAAGGTTGAAAAATGTTAGATCAAATGAAGTGATCAGTAACGTAACCTAAGTTCGGTCTTGTTTTTGGCTGACATACAATATAGATGAAGTCTCATCATCAAGAAGATGGAGACGAGGTTAGGCACACATATCAAATTAAATTATTAAAATGTCTTCAATTAATTAATATAATATGTGTTTCATTTAATTGCCCCACCCAACATTCTCTGATTTAATTTATTTAAATTTTGAAATAAAAGTATAACTAACGTTTTGAAATAATTAAATCCAGATATTACAAATCCAATACTTACTTCGAGAATCTAGTCAACAATAAATTTGAAAAAAAAATGTTAGTAAAGTTGGGAGAGAACTATATAATTGCTTTGATTATACATACAAAAGAGAGTAAGTGATCAATATATATATTGGTAGATCTTAATCTATTAGACTTTTACTATTTAATTGATTGAAGATTTGATTTTATAAATTGAACGACTGAAACAATACTAAATAAATATATTGATTGTATTGGTCTATTGGACACTTGGACATGTATATATATGCAAGAAGGAATTTAATTTATTTAGAGGTGGATCAAATATTCAAATGTATATATATTTCAAGCTAGCAACTTATTCCATACGCAATAAAGAGATATTTTTGTTATTCATTACTTGTACATATTCGATTGTTGCAACTTGCAAGCACCCCATGCACCTTCTCCATTAATATAGCCCATCTTTTAAGGTTTAGTTTTTGATCCACCTAGACTATTTATATCGTATATAAGAGTCACAGATGCTAATCGACACATTAAAATTTTTTGATATATATAACATTTAGCTAGCAAAACATTAATATTTTGATTGTATTATATAATGTTTGATTTGATTACACTTACAATTATGTTACATTCAAAAAAAAAAAAAATTGGTAAAAAAAATGCTAAGATAATCTAATAGAATAAGACAAACATGTAATACAAATATTATACAACCTCAAAGCATCACCTTTTATATTCCTTGAGGGGTAATTGTAGGTCGCATGAGTTGTACGACCTCCCATATTGATATTGTAGTAAGATCCATGCAATCATTATAACTAAAATTGTTTGAGCTAGCAAGCTTAATGGTGGGTTTTTTTTTGCAAGTTTTTTTTCGGGCCAAATAGGAGAGAACTAGAGAAGGAAGAGAGAAGAGGAAAGAAAAAAAGAAAAAAATCTTATAAAATAAACACTGTTATTCATGCGCCAAGCTGGGCTTGACAGTTCCCGTGTTCCCTTCCCTTGATAATTTTTTTCTCTTTTTCTATTCATTAGACCCCACAAAAAACTTAAACTTGCAGAAGAAGAAGAAGAAAAAAAAAATCATCAATTAAAAAATCTACGTCAAGTTTTTTGTTCTACAATTAACCCCAAAAAATAATTTTTTTTTTTAAAAAATCACTAGGCCACTATTGAGAGTTTCTTTCACACATGGACTAACCTATAGTAAAAGACTGAATCGAATCAAATCAAATCAATTAATTAATATAACACATGGACTTATAAACTCATATATTCTCTCTTCAATCGTTATGTTGTGGAACCGTGCCCACAATTAGTGGCACCGGTATCCTCCATAATTTCTATACTGTAGATTTATAATTTTTATATTGTAGATTCATAATTTAAACACAGTAGATTCATAATTTCTATACTGCATACTGTAGATTCATAATATCTGTACTGTAGATTCATAATTTCTAAATTGTATAGTTATCAAATTATGAACATATAGTTCTGTGATTTGTGAATACAGAGTTCAACAATTGGGAATATGAACATCGAAAATTATGAACATATAGCTCTATAATTATGAACATATATTTATAAAATTATGAACATATAGCTCTATCACATGTTCACAAACCTAATACTGTAGATTCATAATTTAAATACAGTAGATTCATAATTTCTAAACTGTGCGATTGCGAAGAGAGAAACGCCGTTAACGGCAAGTAAAAATCAATTTTTTTTTAAAAAATTAAAACAGCGTCATTTTCGTTGTGGAGCTGTGCCCGGGCACGTTTCTACGATATAATTTACCTTCTCTCTTATATTTTCAAGGTGACACTCTCAACAAACTCATGTGTCAATGTTTGCTTGTTTGCATGTTGTGCAGGTGGCATCTCTTCAAGCAGAGCTTGCAATGGTACAAACACAGATAATGAACAGCAGATTTGCAGTAGCAAATGCCCTTCAGACTTCTCAACAGCAGCAACAACAACAACAACAGCAACATGCAGTAGCAGCAGCAGTGTTGCAGCCTGCATATTCCAATACTTCATCTGCTTCAAACAACCTGCTAAACATAAGTAACTTCAGCTCCAATTTCGACCTCGTCGGAGAAACCACTGGCGCCCCCCATAATTCACACTGTTTTGACCCCATTGTTCAGCTCTCACACCCCTCCCAGGAGGAAGAGGAAGATGAAGAACAGAGCCATAACCCCATTGCATTTACCAATCACATGTTCCGTTAGTTAAAGCTCATCAGATCAGTAGTATCTCGGCTTTTAACCTTTCTTGAGGAATAATAATATGGAATCCAAAATTTGGAGAAAAGAAAATCATACAATGTCAGCCAGAGTTTTTCTCTTTTTCGTTTTGGTTTTTGTTTTTTTCCTGTCATGTAGTTAATACCATTGACATTGAATCAAGCTGAGTGTTCAACAATACTGAGCTCTGTTGTTCAAAGCAATTCATTTTGTGTTTTGTTTAAAATTGAATGGCATAGTTGCAAAATGCCCTAGGCATTAGCATGGTTGCAGTAGGAGCTAGTTGCGCGATAGAGTAGTGCTTAGGGCCTATACAGCCTAGACGGATAGGCGACTAACTAAAAAAATATAAAACAATGCACATGTGTGGTAGGTATATATATATATATATATATATATATATATATATATATATATATATATATATATATATATATATATATATATATAATGAAAAAAAATGAGCAAGGCCGAGTCGGCCAAGTTAACTCAGCTAACTCGACCGAAATGGATGAGTTAATTCGGCCGAGTTAGGCGCTTAGGCAGCCAGTTACCTACGCGGGCGCCTAGGGGGAAAATCGCCACGGTCTAGGAGTGGCTAGGGCCTAGACTGATTTTTGCAACAGTGGGCATTAGGCGCTAGTCTAAGGGCGCCTAAGCTGCGACCGAGTAATGATAATAAAGTAATAATAGGCAGTGGCGGAGCCAGGATTTACGTTGAGTGGGGGCGAAAAAGTAAAGGTAATATGAATTAAAAAATGTTTTAATACAAAATACAAAATACAAAATATCAAATTCGAATAAAATTGTTAAACAACTATATGCTAACGAACATTAACTAATTATTCCAAATAAATAATTATGAATTATGCCAACTAACATTAACAAATTTCTAGCAAATGTATTTATCCTTAGTAATTAACATAATCATTAAACAACTACATCAGTACAAATGGAATGCATAAGTAGTGAAAAACAAATGACAACTAAATGGAATGCATAAGTAGTGAAAAACAAATGGTAACTAAACACAGTTAGAAGCACAATATTATAATATTGTTAATATTAGTAGATCGAAAAAAAAAAAAACAAATGGCAACTAAGTGGAATGCATAAACAATGAAAAACAAATGGCAACTAAACACAGTTACAAAAGGCAATATTAGAATATTAAAAAAAAAAAAAAAAAAAAAAAAAAAAAACTAACAACAAGGTTTGAATTGCTAACCTTTCATTGATAAACCAAGGACCTTACCATCCAAGCCAACACAAACTTTGTTTAAATCATGGTATATTTAGTATATATACCATTTATATGGGGTAGGGCAGTGGGGGCAGCTACCCCCACTGCCCCCATTGTGGCTCCGCCACTGATAATAGGCTCCAGCCGCTCCACACAAAGCGTCACCATTTCCCGTCGTCCAAAGCTTCCAACCATCCAGTCGTCACAACCACACTCCTGTCGCCATTGCCAGAGCTGTCTGGTGTTGGGCATAGAGGGTAGCAAATTGGGCTCAAAGAAGAGTATAAAATTCTATGTGTGTATATTATTGGCAATGTACAATGTATCTAGCGTATTATTTATTGATCAATGATCATAGTTGGTGTCACATATTTACAGAACAAAATAAAGGTAACTGGTAACGCACAGAATGAAGGACAGCCTGCAGTTGTGTGAAGGCGAAGGAATGCCTTCGTGACTTATGTAACATGTGACATTTGACTTAGTTTAATTTGCTGGTACTCTCTTTTTTTTTTTTTTTTTTTTTTGTGGCGTTGTGCCAAGTAACATCTAAACATTAAGGGTCTGTTTACTAATAGAAAACTGTTCTCTGGTAACTGGTAACACACAGAATGAAGGACAGCCTGCAGTTGTGTGAAGGCGAAGGAATGCCTTCGTGACTTATGTAACATGTGACATTTGACATAGTTTAATTTGCTGGTACTCTCTTTTTTTGTGGCGTTGTGCCAAGTAACATCTAAACATTAAGGTCTGTTTACTAATAGAAAACTGTTCTCTGTTTTCTGTTTTCTAATTTTACAGTTCACATTCTCTGTTTTCTGTTTAATAACTGTTTTCTGTTTTCTAATTTTACAGTTCACATTCTCTGTTTTCTGTTTAATAACACTTATTTTTTCAAATTTATTTGTTTAGATTAACGTTATAAAATTAACACAAGTTTAATTTCGAGTGATTTTTAGATCTTATATTTAAAATATTTTTACATATGTTTGGTTTAAATGGAATAATTTTTTTTAGAGTAAGACCTCCAATGGTCCTCCGAGTATTAGCGATATACCAGCATTGGTCATCCGACTTTTAAACGACCACGAGAAATCCTCGGTCTTTTTTAAAATAACCACCCCTCCGTTAGGGTTGCTGTCAAGTGGACGTTAAGGGTTAAGGGCAAACATGTCACTCCCCATTTCTTTTATCCTAATGCTGCTACGGGCGTGCCACCCCCTCCAGAACCACAATCGCCGTTTCATGCATTAGTTCATCCACCACGTGACGTTCAATCTCAAGAGCTTTGCTCTCTTCTTCTTCTTCTTCTTGATCGAAAGCTCCGTTTCTTGATTTCTCCATGTTGGTTTGGATCAAGGCATCAATGCCCAAAATCTTTAGTTTGTACAGTATGATACTAATGTACATCTCGAAAACATAATAAGTTGACTATGAATTGTTTTATATATAGACAATTAAATTATTAGCTCTTTGTGTTTCAGTAGGTTGAGAAAGTATATGAACAGATACTACAATCTAATAGAGCTAGTAGCATTCAAAAAAAAATTATTTTCTACAAGATTGACTGGAATTGTGTGCGTCTCATTTGTTGTATGCATGATTCACATACACAGACAAAAACACATATTATTCAACTATTATCAATAGTTTAAAATTTTAAATGTTCAATACTATGTTAGTAATTAGTATGTTATTTGTGACTTATGGTTTAATAGTTCTCATTTTTTTAAAACATACTTTGTAGATTAATAGTAGAACTGTAGAAATAAGCACTGAATCTAGTGATGGACTCATCTTTATTGAACCAAACCGAAACGATTAACCAAATTACTAGCGTTGAAGGAGAGACTAATAAACAAAAAGGTAAATCCAAAGAACGTACCTCAGATATTTGGGAATTTTTTATAAATAAAGGAGTTGGTGAAGATGGGATACAAAGATCTGAATGTAAAGGTTGTAAAAAGTATTAAAAACTGGGGGCAAACAATATGGAACTTCGTCATTAAAGCAACATAAAGATAGATGTAAACTGTTGAACTTGAGGTTCAAATATTTTGAACAAATGCATTTTGATCTTCAAGGAGAAATGAGGTCCAAGTTCAATAAAAAAAAGTATATCGTGAGATGTTAGCTGAAGCAATTATTGAACATGACATGCCATTTTCATATGTTGAGTATGTTGGTTTTAGGAAGTTTGTTTTGTATTTGAATCCTGAAATTCCTATTATCTCTAGAAATACACTTTGTTTGATGTTAACAAAGTTTACATAAGGGAGAAAGATAACTTGAATGAAGTTTTGAGGAATATTCCAAACAAAATTTGCTTGACTTCTTATTTATGGACTGCATGTACTACTGAGGCATATATCTCTTTGACTGCTCAATTTGTTGATGAAATGTGAAAATTGACTAGTAAAATACTTTCTTTTGATAAGATGTCCCCCCCCCCCCCCCAACATATCCCCATACAGGTATTGAATTGACATAAAAAAATATATGGGTTGTTGAATGAATGGGGGATTGAAAAAAAGATTTTTAGTTTGACATTGGATAATGCATCTAATAATGATTGCATGCAAGATATTTCGAAAGATAAATTATCTTTGCATGATAGCTTATTGTGTTGTGGGGAGTTTTTCATATTCGTTGTTGTGCTCATATTTTAAATCTAATTGTCAAAGAAGGTTTGAAAGTTGTTAGTGGTGGTGGTGGTGGTGGTGGGTCATTGGATAAAATTAGAGAATATGTGAAATATGTAAAAATGACTGAGAGTAAGAAGAAAGCTTTTGTGGAATGTATAAATGAAGTCGGTAATATTGATACTAGTATTGGCTTGAGAATGGATGTGTTAACTCGTTGGAACTCTACTTATTTAATGATGGATAGTGCAATTAAATACAAAAGGGCTTTTAGTACTCTCCAATTGAATGGTAGAAATTATAAGCATTGTCCTTCAAGTGAAGATTGGAAAAGAGCTGATAGACTATGTGAGTTCCTCAAGCCATTTTATGATATTACCAACTTAATTTCTGGCTCATCTTATCCTACATCAAACCTTTACTTTATGCAAGTTTGGAAGATTGAGAGAATGTTGAAAAATGGTTTGCATGATGAAGAATCATTGATAAGTGACAGGTGTAGAAGGATGTTAGACAAATTTGAAAAGTATTCAAGTGAATACAGTGTAGTGCTTGCTTTTGGGGCTGCCCTTGACCTGCATTTAAATATTACTATGTTGGGGCGTTTGTATGATAAGGTTGAGGAAGATCCAATTAAATGTCATGAAAAAAAATGTCACTTTTGAAAAGAAAATTGTACAAGCTTTTTGATCAATATGTTATTGCTAGCAGTCGGGTACTTCACTCCCAGATTCTTCTCATGTGTCATGCATTAAAAAATGCAAAGTCAAGCAGGGACCAAAAATAAAGGGAAAGGGCTTTTTTATGTGAGTTTTTGAACTCTTTATATATTAATCCTGCTATCGAATCTATATAATTTGCTTATATAATATTATTTAATCTTTATAATTTGCTTATATTGTGATAATATATTTTACATAGTGTAGGATATTAAAAATTGTTAGCGTTTTTATTTTCTCCAAAAAAAAACCCCCAACATATAATTGGCAATATTATTATGGCAAACTAAGATAGGGTTTAGCTTGGTGTCATTTTGTTATTATATAAGACTGATTGATCAAGTTCATCAACAGACGCACTGACACTGAAGATCTGATAAAGGAAGATGTTTCCAAAATGCTGAACGCAGTTTGAGAAGACATTTTTTGGAAAGAAAATCAGCGGATCTGTTTTGGAAGGTATAGACTGAATCTTTAAGATTGCATTCTTCACAAATCGTCCTACCATCTACAATCAAAGATATCATTGGAGAGTGTTCTTACTAAGGAAGTATAAGTACCCTCATTCGGCTATGAATTAGGGTTACGTTTTTAAGAAGACAGAAACACTCCTT